GAGCCCAGCCGCCGCCCCCGCCACCAGGGACATGTCTAACCCCGGAGGCCGGAGGAACGGGCCCGTCAAGCTGCGCCTGACAGGTGAGGGGGGGCGGGCGGCGGGACCTTGGCCGGGGCGATCGCGGGGTGGGCGAGCCGGCGGGAGTGCCTGTGGCCTTGGGAAAGGCCAGGGTCGTATCTGTGGTGAGTTGGGGGTCGGGGCCGTGGGAAGGCCTAGTGCAAGGAGAATAATTGGAAAACAACTCGCTCTGGTTTGTAAATCCCTGAAAAAGCCAATGGAGACTCGGGGGGTCTTTTGTTGAGGGGAGGGGCAAACCGGTTGGAATTCCATGCGAATTTGAGGTGGAAAAGTCTTGGCCGAGGAGCCCGGCACTCGCTCTGGGCCTCGGGAAGCAGCCCTGGGCGGCTGCCCAGGTGGGGTCGTTGAGGGGATGAGTAGCCCCGGTGGCGGGGATTACTGAATCCGGTTGCTGACTGCGCGCAGTAAACACCCCTTAAAGATGGAGCGCTAACTGGAGAGGGGGTGTGTGTGTGTCTTCCTTGGTTGTTAACTTGAACACCCACATACGCCCGCGTGCAAAACCTTTCGTCTCTGCTGCCAGCAGAGCAGCCGGTGCCACACACCTTAAATGAACGCCTTCGGGAGGGAAGACGACTGAGGTTGACTCTTCCGGTGTGGCTGCCTGATCCGCCGACTCGGGCTCGTTGTACTCTTGTGTTTTGGAAGTGTTTGATTGTAGGTTAACTTGATTTGGGTTGTTCGTTGTAGGCCGCAGAACTTGTGTCTTACTTCTAACTCTAGACGTGCCTTAGAACACTTTTTGGAGGGAGTAAATTTCTAAGTATGTGACCTTACAAACTTTCAAGAGAACTTTCACACCCCCTGCCCTTTTTCCTTTTTCTAAAGATTGCCAATGGAAAAGAATGTCTGGAGGGCTTGCTCGACAGATAGAAGAATTCTCTTACAAAAAGTGTTCACGATACCCGGTGCTTTAAACCTTTTAACATTGCAGGTACATTGAGCTTCCAATGCCATTTTTGGTATTCTTACATGGACATGTTACCCTACTTTAAGGACAGAGTAGTTTTGGTTTGAGAAATATAAGTGAAGTCAGTGTAGTTATTCTAGTTTCACCATTAATAAATTATCCACGTTTATATTCCGATGTGTGGTGAGAAGGTTTTTCTTACAGGGTGTGTGTGCGTGTGTGTAAGAATAAACTGTAATTATGTTTGTCTGCGTTAGACTTTGAGATTTATATGGACTAATTTTGTAGTTATGTGCTTGTGTGTCATATCCCAGTCCACTGGCTGAACTTTCATGATAAAAACTTGCAGTGACTTTGGTATTTGAGAATTTAGCTTGAATGTATGTTGGCTACAATTTTAAAAATGTAAACTTTCACGACAGTTTTACTTTCCCTAGGGAAAATTTTGAGGAATCATTAACTGAGTGGTCTTAATGGAAAACCTGGATTGGAGGATGCCTCCCTGCCTCCCCCTCCTCCCACTCAGTTTGCTTGTTTTCTTAGGAGTCAATGGAAACCTTTATAAGGGATCTTTGTTGCTTTAGAGTTTATCTACTGCTGTTCCTCTTCTGGAGTCAGTCCAGTGTCTGTGATCATGGAAAGAACCTGTGACTCCAGGTGTGCAAAAAGCATCAGAAATAGGCTGTATCCATACTGAGAAAATGAGGGAGGGTTTTGATTTTCTGTAGATAAAATGAATTTGAGGTTTTTAGCAACTCAGTAGATGTTGAAGTATTTGTGGTTCCGTACTGTATAAAATAAATATTACAAAAATTCATGAATAAAATTTATTAGAAGGAAATATTATGCTTATATTTTTTTGAGGGGGGGAGCAGGAAATTGACAGAGATTTTGTATTTTAAGATTTTTCTGAGTAATTTTAAATTACTTATGTCTTGATTATTCCTGTTGTTTGTAAAAACAGTTTATGGTAGTCCCAATTTCTTAAAACCGTTGGGAATATATCTCTGAATAGTTTTCTCTTAAAATATGGCAATTGTAAAAAAAATCGCCCTCCCTTTTGTTCCCTATGGTCAATTCTCTTCGGTTTTATCAGGAAAATTAACATATATTTTTTCATTTTTGTTTATCATTTGCAAATTAGATGGTATAAGATTTTAACAAATAGGTCTCAAGAGCTGGATTCAATTAGCAGCTTTTTAGGACATAAACATTAAAGGCTTAGATGGAAAAGATTGTTTTGACTGACTGGATAAATGACAGGGCTGTGTTTGATGTGCATCCAGGAATTGGTCTGGAGCTGGTGCCCAACTTCTCAGTCCATCTTGAGAAGCCAAATAAAATATTTAACCTAGGCCTCGTTTTGTTAAAAAAAAAAAAAAAGCTGATTCTTTGTTAAGATCGTAAGAAATGTTTGGCATACTTTTAGACTAAGTGTTTAATAGTTAATTTAGATATGGGTTCCATAATAGAAGAGAAATCACTTTAAAAAAGTCAGATTCCACTGTAAATTTTTGATTTACAACATACTTGGACTATAAGATGCTTTAAAATTATTCATTTTTGCTTTATTTAAGTTAGTACCATACTAATATTTTAAATTTACAGAGTGTCTTTGAGTTCAAGGTGCTTTATGAACTGTAGTTAACTCAATTATATTTTTAACGTAGAGTTGCCGTTTTACTGAAAGGTGTAAACAGTTCTTTCATGGTGAGACAGACACACACGCGTGAACTGAAAGATTAAATATTTGAGCCATGGAATCTTTGCCCACAGTGGATATTAGATTTTTCCACATATTATTTATTCCTAAGACCACAAGCAACTAGTGAACTATTTGATATTTGTTGAAGGCAGGACTAATTTAACCCGAAATTTGAGGTTTCTCAGGCCCCTAGTGATTAAAAGCTGATGTGTTCCATCAGGCTATTTCTGTTTTTCATGACACATTAACACTTGATCATTAGAATGGGCTGTATGGGAAAGCTATTAACTTCAATTGGTGTTTCTAGAGAACATTGATTATAAAATGTAAAATTTGTATATGAATATCTGAGAAAAGCTTGTCTTACATTGATTTGGATAGGAAATAATAACCTTTGTATTTGATCATTGTTTATGAAAATCTAAAGGCTGGAAAAAGCAGTTTAGTTAAATTTCTAAGATTTTAAATTCTTAGATATGGAGAAATAACAGATTACTTCCCCAGAACATTTATTGCAGAAACCTTTTTGAATTTCAGTGTTTTTCTGTGCTGCGCCTCATGTTATTAATTTATAAAATCTTGGCAGTAATGAGATTAACCTTGTCTATAGCTAAAGGAACAGTAACTTTAAAATATCCATTTAGATATTCTAGTATCATAATATTGTTTCATTGCATATTTTAATCATTTAAAGCTTTAAAAATTGATTTTATCTCACAAGCTTCTAGGTAGGAGTGTGCCTGCACACCACAATGACTTATTCTAAGGCTGTTAGTGATTCGAATGTCCCCAGTTTGTTTTATTTTCTTCGTTTCTGAGAAGTAAGCCAATGTGGCTTAGCTCCTTCCTTTTCTCTTATCTATTCAACTCTGACCCTCTTCAGACTGGCAGTAGAACTTGGCTTAGGTGCTTCAAGTAGTTTGGTTTTCATTGGTTAGTGAAGTGTGTGGGTTTAATCATGGGTTCTATTTTTTCCTTGTTGGATGAACTATTATTATCACAAGATACATATTAGCATCTTGTTTATTTAGGTATGCTAGCATATATCTAAGGAGCCCTAACCAAAAGGTTGCCGGTTTGAGCCCACCGAATGGCTCCGTGGGAGAAAGACCAGGTGATCTGCTGCCATCAAGATTAAACCCACTGCCATCAATTTGGACTCATAGTGACCCTATAGGACAGAGTAGGACTGTTCCATAGGATTTCCAAGGCTGTAATCTTTATGGAAGCAGACTGCCACATCTTGATCTTCTATGGAACAGCTGGTGGATTGAACCAGTGACTTTTGGTTAGCAGCCGAGTGCTTTAACCACTGTGCTACAAGGGCTCTTTCCCATAAAGATTACAGCCTAGGAAACCCTATGGGACACAGTTCTCTTCTGCAAAGGTGGGATCACCGTTGAGTTGGAATCAACTGGATGGCAACTAACAACAACAACAGTGTATATCTAGTGTGTAATTTAGCATATTTAACATATAGTTCAATTTTCTGGGTAAATGAAGGGTCCATCTTGAGGCACACAAGATGATTAGGCACGCTTTTGATGAGAGTCTTTTAAAGATGTGATATGTCCTACTCTTTTCAAATAAACCATACTTAACAGTGTTTTATTTATGATTCAGTATCATTATAGATATAAATTATTGTGCTGTTGTAATATGTAGTATGAGGCTATCATTATGGCCTGTAGAGAGAACTATTTAACCCTGGGTATATGGTAGTAAGATTCCTGGGTGGTGGAAATGGTTTGCAGTTAGCTGCTAACCTAAAGATTGGTGGTTTGAACCCACACAGTGACCTCATAGAAGAAAGGCCTGGCAAACTGTTTCCATAAAGATTGTTGTTGTAGTGTGCTTGTTTGAGTTGATTTTGACTCATAGCAACTCTATAGGACAGACTAGAACTGCCCCCTTAGAAGTTTCCTAGGCTGTAATCTTTATGGAAGCAGATTGCTAGGTCTTTTCTTCCGTGGAGCTACTGGAGGGTTCGAAACTCTGACCTTTTGGTTAGCAGTGAGCACTTAACCATTGAGCCACCAGGGCTCCATAAAGGTTACAGCCAAGAAAACCCTATGGAGCAATTCTGCTCTGTAACATACAGGATCGCCATGAGTCAGAATCGATTTGATGACAATGGGTTAGGTTTTTTGGTTTATACGTTAGTAGGTTGTTTAACTTTGTTTTTTGCTGGTTTTCTGTCTTTGCCACCGTTTTTCTTTACTATTACTTTCTCTGTTCCAAGAATGCTGGACCCTTGAGATATATTGTTGTAATTAGTGAGTTACGTGTTTCCATATGAATACTTAGTAACTGCCAGGCCCTGTATTAAGTTTACATTTATTATCACTTTTAGTTCTCACAATAGCCCTGTGAGGTAAGGGAAACAG